CTACCAGTAAATGCACTTTCAATCCAACACTGAGAGGACTTGCAACAGAACACTTTCAATGGCTCATGAAACACCAAAAACCAAATACATGCCAACAGTTTTAACTTTTTTTTTTTTTTCAGTTTTAATGTTACTAGATGGATGCTAAGGTGGTTATTAGGACTTTGCCAGGTGATTGCTTACTGACTCTTTTCTGGTCCCTAGATATGCCTCACATCCCTCCTTCAATGTGGGATTCGAAATTGTAACTGATTGCTTAGAAAAGAAATCCCACAACTCTCTCAACAAGCCGTATTATTCAAGCTTTATACTACAGGGCTGTTGAAAGCTTGATTCTGATTGGCTGACGAGCATTTAAAGGTGAACTAAGTAACTTTTTAACCTTAACAGGACAGCTTTGGAGTCATTGTAATGTTTATATTACTGATTTCGTGTTGAATGGTGGTCGTCTCGCACCCCCCTGGTGCCTGTGAGCCGCAAAACCACCCTTGCAACTTTGGGCGGGCGAGCCGCCGGCCTCAGTGTTAGGAAGTATCGTGTGATATCAGGTCTCGCGAGGTAACGAATTGCTTTACGGCAAAAAACAGATCTGATAAAATTCTGATAAAATGAGCATCAAACAGAAATAACCCGGCGCCGTATACATGTGGTGTTCGAGGCGCACATACAATACAGACTGCCGACAGTTAAACAGGGCGCGCGCAGCTCTTAAAGGGGCCATACCTTATTTCCACTCGTTACAGCGTCCATCCTACTGAACAGGTACCGGTGTACAGGGGGAGGGATCCGGCCGTGAGTGCGAGCCATCTCTGCGTGAGTGATATTCACGACAGTACAAGTACTCCACAGCGACTCTAGGGGTCGCTGTTTGACAAAAACGGAATTCCTACTTAGTGCTGCTTTGATGTGTGCAATTGTTTTTTAGGAAATGCACAACTGAAGTAGTTCCAGGCAGGTTTTGACCGCATTACAGTTCCATATCACTTCGCCAATTGATTTCAGGTAGTGTCTCAAGGCCTTCCTTACTAGCTCTAAAACGATGTTTTGGGATTGGCGACGGAGGCTTGGGATGAGATGCGTAAGAAATAAGTCCGACACACAACATTTTAAGGACAAAAATCTGACAAAGAACTAGTGCAAGTGCAAGCAGAGGCCTGTTCTGTTGCATGTCCTGTTTTAAGTGAAACGGGCAAAACATAACAAAGGCCGCTACTGGATAATGTAGTAGAAGCGAACAAACAGTAGTATTAGTCAATTATTCCTTACATCCTAATCAATTATTCCTTCCATTATCCATGTCACAGGACAAACACACTAAAGTGTAATATGTAGTTTTAGGGGTTTGTTTAAATCACTAGGTATTAAAAATATAATAGGTAGAAAGTGCAAAACAAGGTTCACCAACTGCCTTTTTTTTAACACACCAAATAAGGGGACATCATTGGCCAGCGTATTTACACAGAGTATAAAAACAAATTTCTAAGTATAACAGATTCCCAATATCAATATATATATATATATATATATATATGTACAACATGATTGGCTTCATGTCTTGCCAAAAAAGCATTCTTTCCACACTATTTTTGTGCTTATATCAACATGGCAAAGCTCCTCAGTAAAAATTCCTTATTTAACAGTAACACATGGACTAACTTCTGACAAATGAGGGTGTTGGAGTACATAGTGTCCAGGACACACAACTGGCAGAGTGAGCTTGTCAGTGTCTGATCTAGACGGATTCAGCACTGCTGCTCTACAGTGGCCAAATGCACTGACCGTTATTGAGGAAATTCCACCCAACCAGACAGAAAAGGTGGTTTAAATAAAAATGCAATGAACGTTTATCTGTCTCACTGTCTGTTGAATGCTATGTGGACTGTAATAGGAATGCACCTCAATGCGTTTGTAATAGGGCTGTATGTAATCATATCATTTATACAATATGCTGGTTCATTTTGTGGGCGTGCAAAAACATGAATCTGGTACTTACAGATTGAATTCCTCTGACGGAATAACTTTTTTATGGCATGATTAATAGCATTGTTTTTACTTTTCATAATTAGATTCCAAAAAAAAAAAATCTGCTTTTTTATTAACAAGTGTGAATCATCTTATGAGGTAAGACATGCATTTATTGGTCATCCGCAGAGGAAGTTGAATCACAAAACCCACAGGCCTTTACCAGAGTTAAACTGCATGAACCCTTTACTTGAAGTCTATTTATAAAGCATCATAAAGATAATCTTAAATAATAGACATTGTGATTATGCATTATGTTGTTTCATAAATAACTGTAACTACAGTGCCACAGTTAAAATCCATCATAATACTATTTATGGTTAAATCTTTAAACAGTATGTCAAATTATAAATGTCAAATCTTAAAACTAAAGGTTCTTCAATGGTCTTTTGTTACTGAGATGACTACATTGATCAGAAGAACGTCAATATTTAGCTTGATTGTCATCTCCAAAAAGCAAACTTCAGGTTGAGCGTAAACAATTCTGTGTTTAAAGTCCAAAAGGTGAAAATGTGTCGAATATCCAAAGGGTGAATTTACCGCTTTCCAATATTCACTGTCTGGATTATATTTCTAAAAGTCTCACTGAGATCTTGACAAAGAAAACTGTGAAAATCAAGTGGTGTAAAATCTACTAAACTTCACACAAGTTCATGTGCAGGTTACTGAACGAGCCACTGATTCATTGAAGAAAAAAAGGAGTATTATCTTTCTCACACTGAGAACAACCAATCATTCATCTCTCTACCTCCTCCTTCTCACTCCCTCTCTCTCTCTCTCTCTCTCTCTAACTCTCTCTCATCAAAAGATACGAGTCTCAAAGGGGTGGTATAATGCCCCTTTTTACAATATGTAAAATAAGTCTCTGATGTCCCCAGAGTGCGTGTGTGAAGTTTTAGCTCAAAATAATATTCAGATAATTTTTTACAGCATGTTAAAATTGTCTCTTTTCGAGTCATTTTTGGTGTGTCCCTTTAAATGCAAATGAGCTGCTGCTCCCGGTACAGAGGGCGGAGCTTCAAGAGCTTGTGTGTGTGTGTGTGTGTGTGTGTGTGTGTGTGTGTGTGTGTGTGTGTGTGTGTGTGTGTGTTAGCAGCTCCAATTACCTCACGCAGACATGCTCTAAAATGTCAGAAACGGTTCTGCCTTTTATGTTTAAACTGGAGTCGGACAAAGATGGAGAGACTCACGAAGAAGCGACAACACGTAGAATGCAACAGGACGTTTCTGAATGGTTAGTTGATGAATTTATGTTGCTGATGTGGAGTTAAGTATCTTCAATTCGCATATTCTGTCATGATAATCTATAAAATCGCTCGTGTGGGAACTGTTGTAAGTCGAATACAGAGTGACACTCTATTTCATGTGAAAAGACGGATGCTACAGTTTGAGCAGACTCTTCTACAACAGCTCTTCCTCTTCTCAACATGGACTGTGTGTTTCTGGGGGCGGGGTTTATGTAAATTCTAGGGTTGGTGAGGTCACTAACCCGTGAGGAATGTCGTGTAGTCCCTACCAGCCGTTTGTTGTAGTCCTTAAAAAAAATTATTTCTTTAACAGCAAATATCTCCCTTAGCTTTGAACTTTGAGCGTTGTAACTTTGGAGAAGTTGTTTAAGCTAACACAGCAACATTACACACTAACTAAAGTTTAAAAAGTGAAATCATAATCAACCACCCCTTTAAAAGGATTAGAAGGTCCAAAACAAAAGATGAAATGGATATATATATAAATTGACAAAAGCATAATGCTTTTTTAGATTTCATACCGGATGTGATTCTATTAAGAGAAGTAGCCTATAGGTGCAAAACTAATATTTCATACTTTTATACACAGTGACCCCGAAAAGTTTGGATACTTAAGTCACACTTGTCTCGTTGTCTTTGCATCTGCAAACAAATGATGCTAGAGATCATTTCCATTCTTCACTTTTTAATTTTGTAATTAAAACCAACTGGCTCCAATTTTAGTGGATGCCTTAAGAAACTGACATGTTCCACTAACATTTGACAAAAAGTATGTTGTAATTTATAAACAATATTGTTTAGACAATGTTATTTTAGAATTTAAACAAAAGTTGTTATAATGCTAAGATATTAAGACATTTTAAGTGTGGCTTAAGTGTGTGAATACCTTTGGTGTCACTGTACTTCATCTCTCTCTCTCTCTCTCTCTCTCTCTCTCTCTCTCTCTCTCTCTCTCTCTCTCTCCCTCTCTCTCTCTGTTGAACTTGTGCCTGGTGTGTCTGTGTCCAATAACTGACATACACACTTAAAAATAAAGATTTCAAATGGTGTTTTTGCAGAGATTTCAAAGAAAAACCATGTTGGCTTCCCCAAAGATTAAAACAACCACTGTTTTTCTTAGTGTGAACAACATATAGGCTAAGATATAACCTTTTTTCAATGTAAAGAAAGTGTTGTGCTATAAAAAGGTTGCCAATAAACAACCTTTGTTTTTAAGTAACTAGAACTGCGCCCTTAATAACAATTCGTTTGATTATTAAATAACAATGAAACTCATTTAAAAAAAAAACGTCAGACAGACGTTTAAAAAATAAAAAAGAGAAGCAGCTTCCTCTCTATATGGAGATGCCCTACTAAACTATTTTACTTAAGCTTACTGACATTGAATAAACTAAAAATATGTATCAGATCACGACAGCTAATCTTTCATGTTTGCTTCGTCAACTTAGCCTAACTAATCAATAAATGAACCAGACGTAGGCTATATTGACACCGATTTGTTGTGGCGGCACTGTTTCAAAATATTTGTAGACTAAAAACGTTTTACAGCAACGATGTAATATAGGCTAAAATCGCTTTCTGCAGGTGAAATTGAACCGAAACAACCTGTCATTAGAACTCAATGGATAGTTATGATTCTACTCAGAGGAAGAGCGATTCAATAGGCTGTTCACAAAATACAGGCTTATAAATACTAAAAATAAGTATTTAAAATAAGTAAAAGGCACCTACTTTTCATTATAAGTCCGTGAGGGATTGAAGGCACGGGTACAGTACAGCGGTTCCGTGTGTGTGTGTGTGTGTGTGTGTGTGTGTGTCTGACAGTCAGTCAGAAGTGAGAGCCAGTGAAGCGCGCGCGTGTTGATCTGTTGAGTGACTCTAGCTGGAGGCGTGTGTGTGTGTGTGTGTGTGTGTGTGTGTGTGTGTGTGTGTGTGTGTGTGTGTGTGTGATCCGCAATCAGACCTTCTCTTTCACAAGACACAAAATATACTGGCTATCATCCAGTTAAATGCGAGGAAGGTTTTCCTATTGGCTGTGTGTAGGCTATTTTATAGTGGAGGGAGGCAGAATAATGTCCAAATGAACTGTTACCCGTGTTCGTTCAATTTGAAATCACTTCAACTCTAAATCACTTGCTGACATAAACCAGCGATGACGAATGAGAGGACAGGTATTTCACTCGTCATAGCTTCCGGAATAGGCTAATGCAACAGGTGATCTAAGTTCATGCATGCTTTTTTCATACATTCATTTAAGGACTGAACCATGAATGAGAATCACTGATATAATCTATCGTTACCTGTAAACTGAACACTTTAAATATTTCAAATGATTACAATGCAGTGATATTAGCTGAAGTTTCATGGACACTGGTCAAATCAAATTAAACAATGGCGCCACCACGTGGATCAAACATGCAATTAATGTGTCATTCAAGAGTAACCGTTAAAGCAATGAAAGCAACAGCTGATTGTTTGTGGACGTTTAGGGATATTATTATATCCATATATGATGATGGATATTTTGTGCTATTTTGAGTCATATCTGTGTCTGAATGATATGTTCAGTAATCTGACTGATTCAGTTATCCAGTTCAGTTCACTGGCCATGTTAATTGCCACCCTATAGTGTTTCATCTCCTATAACACATTAAAGGTGGGGTAGGCAATTATTTCCATAAAAAAACATTTTGTTATTCTGGTTGGAACTGAATCCTGACGCATCCTGATAGCAAGGTCATTCCTGGGATTCGATAATATTTCAGGTCAACAGACTTTTTAAAGTGGTGTTTCACCAAAATGAAATATTAAAAGCTTTCCACAATACTTTGGTATGTCCATTATAATGAAAAAATTTTTTTATTGCATTTAAATATTTTTTTTAATCATAAAATAGTGTCTTATTTCTATTGTAAACTAAGTATTTTGTCAGGTCCCTGAGAGCAGCAGGCGTAATGATATGACGCAGCGCCTGAAAATAGGCCACCTTCCGTCAACACAACGGAACTATTTTCAGGCGCTGCGTCATATCATTACGCCTGCTGCACTCATGGTACGGCAGTAAAGTTTCTTGATTATTACGCAGGAATGAGAGTATAATTCCTAGCCATATCAGCCTAGAAAATCGCAACTTTACATTTTCCGTCAGTCTTAGTGCACGATGTAACTACAGAAGAGTCAAGTTTTAAATAGGAAAAATATCAAAACTCTTTGGTCATTTTTTTTTTTAGAAACGCTAATGGTCTTGTCCACTTCAATGGTGTATGCTAAGCTATCCTAAAAGTGGTACCGCCACAACCGGAGATCGGCTGAATGGATTCAAAAACGGTAAAACTCAACAGTTTAACTCTGGGGGAGTTGTAAAATGAGCCTATTTCCAAAAAAAGTGGAGTATCCCTTTAAGGCTTTGCAGACTTTGCTCTGGCTGTGAGTGTTCATGTGTTTTGGAGAAGGCGTGGCTTTGGAGACGCTCTGAAGGGAGGGTGGGATCTCATGCTTTCAAAGCTAGCTTGCTATTGCTAGCCTCTCCGAAATTCCCTACCCTACCTTTAACTATTATTTAGGAGGAACTAAAAAGTGAAAACGTTGAATTTTTTGTATTGTATTATTTTAGACCTCTTGTTAACTTCACCTTATAAAGATAAGATTAAGTCTTATGTTTTGCGTAACTATATATATTCAGGTAAATGCAAATAAAAATAGAATAAAAAAATGAAAAAATGAATAAAACAAGTCAAATAACTAGAATATCTAGGCTAATTGTGCATCACAGTTGATTTGCATATGAGGAATGCGCGCGCAAACGCACTGAATGCCTGGCGTGTGCAGTGTGTGTAGCCAGAGATGCAGAAGGAGGATTGTGTGTTTGAGTGGACGCGCATCGCATCGCCGCACGCAGCTGGAGCTCCTCTGATCACACACACATACTGTACATCTTCTCTGATCACACACACACTGTACAGCATCAGCCGCGCGGTCAACATGTTTCTGCTCGGATTCAGCCTGTGCCTGGGCATCGTCCATGGAATTGTCCCTGAAATATCCAAAACAGACATGGACATCATTGCAAACATGGAGACAAATGTAGTGCAAGAACAATCGACACCGAACGATGTGTTGAAAGAGGTGGAGGACCTGATGGAGGACACGCAGCAGAAGCTGGAGGACGCGGTGCATCAGGTTTCTGCTTTAAATACAATATAGCCTATTTATAAGCGTAGATTTGGATAATCATTTGAACTTCTGTCATAACTTAGCTTAGTTTTGATAGCATCACTGGCAGTGTTGGGGGTAACGAGTTACAAAGTAACGGATTACAGTAACGATATTACTTTTTTGGGTAACGAAGTAAAGTAACGCATTACACTAAAAATATCGGTAACTACACTACTTTACTATACTATAGGAACGCGCTTTCCTGCGTTACCCAAGCCGTGTTTGCTTGTGTGTAAAGTTCTGTCTAGTGGTGCGTGCGCACCGTTGCCATAGAGATCGATTTGAGTGACATAGCTGCCGGTGCGAAGGAGAGAGGGAAATGGAGACGGAGACGGAGACAGGGGGTCTCTGCAGCGCGAGTCTCCGCTGACTGCACGCGCACCTCCCCAAACGGACGAGGCGTTTATACTCGACGCGCTCGCCATTGTACTATTCTGTGAAACGACGGGGCGACTCGAGTAATTGTCCTCTTAACCATCAGGAATCAACGGTGAGAAGAAGAAAGGTCCACACGTGACGATGTTTATTTTAGTAGGCTACATCACCACCAATAACACTACAAAAAGAATCGTGTACGTAAAATCCAGTAAACCCTGAGATTATTACTTGTGACATTAGAACAAAATGTGGATATAAAAACATGTATGTAGACTATAGAACTAAATCAACGATCTCTTAAATGGTTTCTAATTTCACTAAACATTTCATTAAGTTTCGTGGACATTTGATAAAACATGGATCTTTCTATTAAAAATGCTTATTATGCTATTGTAGGCTCATTTTGTAAACATAAGCAACTGATTTAGACACGCAAACTGTGTGCCGATGCGGTCACGGTGAGACGTAGGCTACATGCTCGGGCAGATTCGGCTTCTTGAAGTCGTTCATCCTCGGATTCGGCGCCGCGCACGCTGTTACAAAAACTCTTCTCAAGTCTTGGAGCACAGCAGGTAACACAAAACAAAATGAACAGGCTTGTTGCAGGGTTCATTGTAGAGGAATGCTTCCCCTGCCGACTATTGAATCGCCAAGAAAAATGCATTTTAAATTAAGATCAAAAATGTAAAAGTGACCTTTATTTTATTATTTTTCATTGACCACTTCATTTTTTATTTTTATTGCCATGAGTCGAATAAAAAGCTTGTTTTGTTCTCAGGAGAAGAGTTTATTCTCATGTTTCCCAAAGCCTGTGTTTTAAAACTTGTGTGTTGACCCCATTTTAAAATGACCGCACCATAGCCTCCTTTATCCTGTTGTTTGTGGATTTTACAGTGAGATATATTTCCTTGTGCAGACAGGGATATTGTTCTTTCATATGGTTTTACATGCCATTTTGTATATATTTATACAATAAACACTATGTAGACAGGCAAAGTGATGATAGGGCTATGATATTTGTCCATAAATTAAGAAACGGGAAAGTAAAGTAATAAGTAGTGAAGTTACTTTTCAAACGCAGTAACTAGTAAAGTAATCTCATTACAATTTACAGAAGTAACTAGTAACTAGTAACTAATTACCTTTTTTGAGTAACTACCCCAACACTGATCACTGGTTATGCACGTGCCAAATCAGAATTGACATTTCTTCAAAATAATCTATCACATCTTAATTAATATTAGATAGTGTTGTGTTCATCTGTGCAGACATGATCACATATTTGAAAGTGTCATGAACTGAGAAGTATTGCACTATGACCAATCAATTTTCATAATCTACAGATACACATTTTCAAACTATTTTATGTGAACTATATTGTTTGGTGTTTTTTCTTCAAAGATCCCCCAAATGTGCCATTTATCACCAACCTGATATTAAAGAACTGATGACAGATTAAGTTGAAAAGTGGATCAGTGATTCATAGGCCTATTTGTTAAATTGATTATCGGCCTATTTTGTTGGCCTTTTACCTCTTTCCAAAATTTATAGTCAGGTCCGTATATGTGCTTTATTGTGGTGAAATTTGAACTAACTGGTTTTATTCAAGTCAAAAAGCATATTAATTATTATGGAATAAACATAAAAAAGTACTCACTGTAAGGAAAAAGCATTATAATAAAATCTGACATTATTTTTAGGCCTGGAAAACTCATGGAAATCATAAAATCTTTTTAGCTGTCCTTCTTGCTATACGCTCAGCTCTTTGTGAGTGCAATCTATATAAGATTTTTCGTTTGTTTAATTTTAACCATTAATCATGAACGGGTAAAAAAAAAAAAGTCATGAAAATCAGTGAAAGTGATTTTTAAGAGGCAGTTCATGTAGAAATCGCTCATAAGTAATTGCACAGTTTGACTTATTGCAGAGTTTTTGAATAAGAATTTTCTCTTTTTCCCTCAGATGGACAATGAGACCGCAAAATCAAGCCTCCATCCACACAACGTCTCTTCAAACCTCCAAAATTACAGCAGTATTGAAATCATAGCTGGGAATCAATCTAATTACATCGCTGAGAGAATCGATACGGTAGGTGAAGAGCTTTAGTACGACGATTCAGTAATGCAGTTAAAATGCAGTCGGTCACTTTCCAGACCTGATTCTCTGATGGTCAAATCATTTGGCATAATGACCACTTAAAAGTAATTGAGTTGTTCTAGACGTGCTATTTCGGGCTAGATGTGCCGTCATTCTATGTGTGTATCATGTTTTAAATGCTTGATAAACTCAGCGGCTAAATGCACATCTGTCTTTGACTCTTTTTACCCCCAGACTACAGACAATCCAGCTGAAGACAGCAACACCTCGACAACCATACGGCCAGGAGATAAAGAGAACAACACTGATCATGATCACGTGAGCCGTCTGTCTGTTCTAGTTGTGTTTGAGAAACATGGCATTTATCTTGTCTTTTATTGTGCACAAGTCAGGAAGGATAGCGTTCAGGAAGAGGAATACTCTTCCTCTGCGTTTTATTTCCCGTCTGACTGAAACGAGTCCGCTCTTTTAGATGACAGGGTTCTGGATCTGAGCTGACAGTTCAGCTGATAATCGACGGATCTCGTCCGAGGCTTTACGGATCCATTTGACATTTCCGATCTGCTCATTCCAGGCGTCCAGGGAGTTCAGACAAAGAAAGCGAATGCTGAATAATTGAGAGTGGATTTCCCGACAGGTCTGCTTTTAGACGGTATAAGCAGTATAAATCCATTGAGCAATGGAAAGAAATACTGGACATTTTCTGCCAGGACTTGATCTGTTTGTTTCATTATCTGACTGGCACACTGCTGAAGTGCAACAGGATTGGGTCGTGCAAATTTGGGACGTGCTCGTGGTTAAAAAGTGTTTTTTTATTTTTATTTATTTAAGAAAGCCACGTCTCTCAGCACACGATCACAAATTCAGTTCTGCTATTGCTAATTTAACGTTTAAAGGGATACTCCACTTTTTTTTTGGAAATAGGCTCATTTTACAACTCCCCCAGAGTTAAACTGTTGAGGTTTACCGGTTTTGAATCCATTCAGCCGATCTCCGGTTCTGGCGGTACCACTTTTAGCATAGCTTAGCATACATCATTGAAGTGGACAAGACCATTAGCATTTCTCAAAAAAACAACAAAAAAAACGAAGTGTTTTGATATTTTTCCTATTTAAAACTTGACTCTTCTGTAGTTACATCGTGGACTAAGACCGACGGAAAATGTAAAGTTGTGATTTTCTAGGCTGATATGGCCAGGAACTATACTCTCATTCCTGCGTAATAATCAAGAAACTTTACTGCCGTACCATGAGTGCAGCAGGCGCAGGCACTTAGTCCCAGTGTTGTGCCGTATTTCGACCCCCGCCAAATTATTACCCCCCTTGCATTGGTAGGTTTAGGATTAGTTGTGGGGGAGGGGGTAGGATTAGGGGCGAGGTTGGGATTAGGCAATCAGGTACTGACTTCAACGAGGGGGGTAATAATTTGGCAGGGGGTCGAAATTAGGCACAACAGGTCACGTTGGAAGTTACCGAGCTGGGGACTATTTTCAGGCGCTGCGTCATATCATTACGCCTGCTGCTCTCATGGTACGGCAGTAAAGTTTCTTGATTATTACGCAGGAATGAGAGTATAGTTCCTAGCCATATCAGCCTAGAAAATCGCAACTTTACATTTTCCGTCGGTCTTAGTGCACGATGTAACTACAGAAGAGTCAAGTTTTAAATAGGAAAAATATCGAAACACTTTGGTTATTTTTTTTTTTTTTGAGAAATGCTAATGGTCTTGTCCACTTCAATGATGTATGCTAAGCTATGCTAAAAGTGGTACCGCCAGAACCGGAGATCGGCTGAATGGATTCAAAAACGGTAAAACTCAACAGTTTAACTCTGGGGGAGTTGTAAAATGAGCCTATTTCCAAAAAAAAGAGGAGTATCCCTTTAAGGGATACTCCACCCAAAAATGAAAATTCTGTCATCATTTACTCACCCTCAAGTTGTTGCAAACATGTATGAGTTCTGTATGATATCCTGTATGAGATATTTTGAAGAACGATTGGAGCCAAACAGTTGTTTGGCACCATTGACTTCCATAGTAGAAAAAAAAAATACTATGGAAGTCAATGGTGCCAAAGGTCCAATCGTTCTTCAAAATATCTTGCTTTGTGTTCAGCAGAAGAAAGAAACTCATACAGGTTTGCAACAACTTGAGGGTGAGTAAATGATGACAGAACTTTCATTTTTGGGTGGAGTATCCCTTTAAATTACATAATGTTTAAATATGTCATTTTGGTGATCAAAGATGAGTTTCAAGGGATACAATTATTGACCACAGGGGGGGACACATTTCAAGGGCTCCGCCAGTAGTGGGCACTCGTGCAGCCGAGTGAACGAGACGAAGGGAAGTTAGCGAGGGAAGGGCCATGAAAATGGACTTAAACGCAGCTATTCTTTGCAAAATATTTGCCATTTCCTAGTCAGTTGCAGGTGGTTAAGGGGGAGGGACATTTGTTCTAGACAGCATTTGATTGGACAAAAATCCGTGTAGTGCAGGATGAGTCATCAATATTTTTGGTCTGTTTTTCCAGATGAGATTGCACATTTCAAATGCATATATTTGCAAAATAAAAGCTAAATAAATATCACAATTAATTACAAAGAAATGGCACATTTAATTAATTAGATGTGGACTAAAAGCAACAATTAAGGTCCTTCAGTATAATTTGTAATAATATAATTGCAGTGGTTGTATTTAATAAAGTGGTTGTCTTATAAAGATATGGAAGGTATGACTTTTTCCCTCTGTTAAATATTTATGAACCAGGATTAAAAAAAAGGGAAATTAAGCATTAAGGGATAAAACGCTTTTTGTCCTACACTTCAAAATCAGCCTAAATGTGGGGGGTCGGGGGTGTAGATAAAAACCGCACCTACAGTTTATGACCAGCTCACATCCTCCTAAAATCCTGAGAATGTTGTTTTAACTCTGTGGGGAAGTGTACAGTAACACTGCTATTGATTAGTTATGTGGACTACGTGCTTGAAGTTTGAAGCTCAAATCTCCTCTGTTCCGTCTTGGAAAGGTTTTGAATGCTTTTCTTGTGTCTCTCAGGAGTGTGTCATTGATGAAGACTGTGAGAAGGGCAGGTTCTGTCTCTACGAGACACACAGCTCAAAGTGTCTGCCCTGCAAACAGCTTGATGCGGTAAGAGGTTTCAAATTTCACAGACCAGGCAACACTGCAAGGTACCCTTAACCTCCAGTGTTATCCAGAATAAAAGATTCTCTAGTGTGCTTGGTGCATGCTAGGTGTTCAGCCTAGTCCCAGTTATTTCCGTTTGGTTTTCCGCACAAAGATTGTACCCTATAATGTGGCTTTCCAACAATATGATGCAACCGAGCCTGCATTGTGACCGCATTGCAGTACGAGTGCACCTGGAATCTGATATGCTGGAGCGTTTCTCCTTTGGGTTTCACATCAAAGTGCACAGATTGCTAAATATGAGCATCTCCGGCCCCACATAGGACACTGAGTTCACCTCGAGGCACAGGAAGTACGGTAGCCAACTAAGCAGAATGCAGATGTGCATTACTCTTCCAGGATACTGTTGAAGCAGAACTGTGTATGCTTGTTAGAAAGCCTTGTAGATCTGTTTTATTGAATTTGAAAATGATCTCATTAATTGGAAAGCACAGTGAATGCAATTCTGTGTTATTCAATAATGAATGAATGAAGGGAATCTATGGAAGCGTATTGCATTCACTTGAAGAAAAAAAATCTACTCTGTTTTTCTGAATTAACGAGTTAATTATCTCAGAATTACAAGATAATTTTTCATGGAATTTTTTTTTGCTCTTTTTCTGAATTAACGAGTTAATTATCTCAGAATAACGAGATAATTTTTCATGGAAAAAAAAGTTTTTGCTCTGTTTTTGTGAATTAACGAGTTAATTATCTCAGAATTACCAGATAATTTTATAATGGAATTTTTTTTTGCTCTGTTTTTCTGAATTAACGAGTTATCTCAGAATTACGAGATCATTTTTCATGGAAAAAAAGTTTTTGCTCTGTTTTTCTAAATTTCTGAGTTTTTGAGATAATCAAGTCATTAATTCAGAAAAACAGAGCAAAACATTTTTTCCATGAAAAATTATCTTGTAATTCTGAGATTATTAACTCATTAATTCAGAAAAACAGAGTAGATTTTTTTCTTCAAGTGAATGCAATACGCTTCCGTAGGAATCGGTATGGAATCACTCGTCAAACGATTCTCCTCATTCCTACCCAGAACCCCTTAGAAATCACATAGAAACACGCTGACATCATGGTGGCAATGATTGCACAGCCAGAGACTAGTCTTAAAGTCCCCTGTGGTCAATAATTGTATCCCTAAAAAATCAACATTGATCACCAAAATGACATATTTAAATGTTTTTTTTCCCCTTGAATAGCTTGAATGTAACTCTACACCCTTGCCTCATTAAGTATACGTGGTTCTATAAATATGCAAATGAGCCCCGCCTCCACTCACTCACTCACTCAGCCCAGAGATCCACTGGTTGACGATCACTCGTTGATCTGATTGGTTACAAGGTCGTTTGTGACGTCAGAAACACCAGCGATTTCAAACCGTGTTTTTGAGACTGTCTTTGGTTCACTGCAGTTTTAAGAAGAAAATACTCAGCAATGGTGTTGACTTGTTATGAATTTGCACATGGTTTTTCTTAAAGCACATTAAAAACCCCACACAGACATATAAACAACATTAAAAGCTTGATTTTCACCACAGGGGGACTTTAAATGTACTGTTTAGATATTAGGAACTGTTCATATTGGTATTAGTAGTGATACCTGGAGATGCTGCAGACGACCTGTGCGTTGATGTGCTGAAAGAAAGAATCGTGTTTGATTCTGAAATGTAAGTGTAACATGAACCAAAGAAGTAACTCAAAGGGTGAATAGCGGTCTCAAGGCACTCTCTGTACGTTATCCCCCTCAGACGTGCAGCAAGGATGAGGAATGCTGTGCGGGACAGCTGTGTGTGTGGGGTCAGTGTGCGAGGAACAGCTCAAAGGGAGACGCGGGAACCATCTGTCAGTACCAAAGAGACTGTAAGGAGGAGTTCTGCTGTGCCTTCCATAAAGGTAGGAGCATCTAGCATCATAGGAGCGTGTCATATTATCTGGTCAATATTTCGGTTGGCATATGCTGGCACTGCTTGATAGTGCAGATTCCTGCTAGTGATGTGTTGTTCATGAATGAATCTTTTAAGTGAATGAATCACTCTCATTCACTTAGGCTGTGTCTGAAATCGCATACTCTCTTGAGTAGGTACTTACTTTGAATAAGTATGTACTTTGTGACTGCTAAAAAAGTGTTCTATATAGTATAAATGCACTACATTTGCCATGTTGTCATTATCATGTGACCAACCAGCATCAGTTACGTCGCTTCACTGCCATTCACAAATCCTCTCCCTTGGCATCATGGGATAGTAAAGTGTCCATCGTATGCACACTTCAGGATCTCGCCGGAAGGTCATCTAGGTACTTTTTGCCTATTCTTTTACAAGAACTGTGAATTCAGACATACTACTCTTGTCCGAATTACATTCATAATAGAACATACTTTTTTAGCAGTCACAAAGTAAATACTGTTTTTCATCTACTATATAGTACAGAAGTATGCGATTTTGGATGCAGCCTTACTTATATTTCTCCCTCCCATTTAAAGCTTCATTTTGAAGTGTGTGACCTCTGGTGGCTTGTAAAGCCCGACTTTAGCACAAACCAATAGTATTCAAGTGTGGGTTGTGAAGGGAAGGAGCATTTCATTGGGTTAATGAAATGCTAAATGAATACACCTAGCTTTGCTCAATCACTCATCTCTTTCGCATTAGCAAAGTTTCTGATCGACTTTTGCAATACAATATATCTACGTTTTTGTGAGGAAAACACTTGTTGTAGATGATTTGTAGATGCACAAATGTGAATAAAGGATAATAAGGCTTGTTGCAATGACTATCATGACACATAAAGGACACTAATTTGTCACCACCTACTGGAGTAAATATGTAACGCCACTGAACGGATCAGTACGACTCTTTTTGGTGAACGGAATCAAATGACTCGATTCACTAAGATGAATCATAACTACTAATGTATTCATTTTTCAGCCTTGCTGTTCCCAGTGTGCAGCTCTAAGCCAATAGAACGCGAGCGCTGCATCATTTCAGCCAATCACCTGTTGGAGCTGCTGTCATGGGATCTGGAGGGGGGGAATCCTCAAGAGCACTGCCCATGTGCTGGAGACCTGCAGTGCCAACATCTGGGGTAAGAAGCCCTAAAGGCCATCTCATTCTGAACAATATATCATATATTAGTATTTATACACTACGAGTCAACAGTTTGTGGAAGGTTTTTGAAAGAAGTCTCACCAAGGCTGCATTTATTTGATAAAAAATACAGTTAAAACACTAATATTGTGAAATATTATTACAATTGAAAAGAACTGTTTTCTATTTGGTGAAACTCGAAAAAATTTAATATCGTGCAAAAGTTCATTTATTTCAGTAATTCAACTCAAAAGGTGAAACTAATATATTATATAGACTCATTACATGCAAAGTGAGATATTTCAAGCCTTTATTTGTTATAATTTTGATGATTATGGCATACAGCTTATGAAAACTCAAAATTAGAATATTGTGAAAGGTTTTCGTAGCTGTAAGCCTTAATCATCAAAATTATAACAAATAAAGGCTTGAAATATCTCACTTTGCATGTAATGAGTCTATATAATATACAGTGTTGGGGAAGTTACTTTTAAAAAGTATAAAAGCATAATGCATTTATCAAAAAAAATTATATTTATGAAGAAATGCCGGTTAATGGATAGGCATATGCATGGGCGGCGCTAGGGAGGGGCTAGAAAGAAAGCCCCCAAGAAAGACCAAAGCACCCCGTTAGCACCCCCAAAAATCATTTCTGGAAGCAATTGTATTCAGGCTGTATTCTATGGAAGTCCTGAACCGCATGGTGAAGAAAAAAAAAAACATTTATCTTGATATTTAGACATAATAAGGGGACATTCTAATCTGCATTAAGACAAATTAAGCGTTCTTATAATGGTTTTCTATGGTAGGAAAATGCTTAACGTGTAATTAAACACGTTGCGTTCATATTCTGGGCTCATCTGATTTTTTGTACATAGTATAGCCTACTTTATTATGATTTTAGTATCATAATGATTAATAAATGCACACACAATTATCCGTGAACTTGATAAATGTTGCAGATATGTTTTAAAATGCACGTAAACAAATGCCTTTCAACTTATGTGTGCAAAATTCTGAATTAAATGAATGTGCAGCAATATACGAGAGTCTGTAGGCCTACTATAGCCTACGTGTTGTAGCCATTAAATAAGCGCATTTAGTTTCATATTTGTTAAAATACTATAATGTTATTTTTTTCCATCTATGCTGATTATGAAAAGTGAACAGCGCGAGTAAGATGGATGCGCAATATATCGGGAGACATTAAGTCAATCAGACATGATTTTGACCACTTCATTAAGTTTTGTTTTGAAGAAAGCCTTTCTTTAAAGCGAATTTCGTTTTGTATAAATTGAATCTTAATTTTAATCAATTTTTGATCAACCAAATGCCTGTATTTAATAAATAAGAAGCAAATATAGGAGACAATATAATCATGGAAGCGCCGGCGTGGTCACTTGCATTGCACGTGAACTGGAGCATCTCATCATAAATTAACCGAAACTCAACGTATAGAATTTAAGCTTGAAATGTCTTTAAACGAAGCAATTCAAAACAAAAAGAAATAGGCTACTCTCTGATTATGTAATCCATTCTGTGCTTTTCTCTCTGGGGCGTTCACTACGGAGATGGCGATCGCGGTCAAATCTATCAAATGACGGAGATCGCAAAGTAACGTTGCGCCGAATTGAAAAAGGAACTACGTTTCGTTACCAAATTTTCAGTAGTAGCGCGTTACACTACTTTTTACCCGTAAAAGTAGTTACATTACTGTAACGCGTTACACACAACACTGATAATATATTACTTTCACCTTTTAAGTTGAATTACTGAAATAAATGAACTTTTGCACGATATTCAAATTCTTCATGTTTCACCTGTATGTGAAAATGTAATGTATTCCTGTGATGCAGAACTGAATTTTCAGCATCATTACTCCAGTCTTCAGTGTCACATGATCCTTCAGAAATCATAATAATATGCTGATTTGTTGCTAAAGAAACATTTCATATGATCAATAAACCGTGATGCACTAACATTCACAAGTTATGAAATTGGTCATAAACGTTGTTTGTCTTTATCAGACGAGGCGCTCTGTGTCTGAAGAGCCAGAACTCCAGCGAGGAGGACCTCACTGACACCCTGTACTCTGAGATCGACTACCTCGTCTGACAGATGAAGACAAGCTGCTGAAACAGACATGAACGCTTCATCGTCACTCCAAAGCTTTGTAGGAAACGCCTTCACCTTAATCACCCAAACTTACAGGCTCTGAACCGCTGAAGGCCTGAATCTAAAAGAGCGTTCACACTGACATCGATTTGGAAGCATCAAGTCGCCCGGATCGTGATGATTTGAGGTGACTCGAGTGTGACACTTCTATAGTCGAGTGAGGCAAGATGATTAATGTTCGACTCATGCACTTTATGTTCGATTGGAGTTTCAAAGCTATGACCAGATAGGCAGACCGTAACATTTGGGCATCAACCCAGATCTAGTTTGTCAAATCAGTGTGTCAGTGTGAACAGCCCTCAAGTGTTGAAGCTCAACTGTGGGTTTTTAGCATGGGAAGGAAGCACACATTATTAATCTAAAGTACTAATGCTTCAATAATATGTATGGCAGAGAAAATATGAGGACAGCTCTGATGAGATCCAATCCATCTTAGTGTAGTGTAGTAGCTAAAGTGACGCACCCATACAACAAATCATGTCATTTCCCCAGGCAATAAATACAAAACATGCTCCAGAAAATAAAAAGTTGAAAAACATGTGTTGCCTCTATCTTTTCATGTATAATGTATAATCTGAACCAATGAGGGTTTGAACTAAAATGGTTCACTTGTATCAGGGTTCTCAAGTCTCACGCATTGGCCGTGAGACACACGCAATTCAACCAGTTCACACGCTCACACGCCACACCGTGTATATCTCACGCTGAAAAGGCAATGCCAACCAAGTTGTCCTGCAAGCTTTATATATAACGTTGTATACGAGGCGCATGCACACAAAGATAAGTTTCCTGTCGCCAGCGCGTCCGCCTCTCGGCCAGATTGCGTTCGTTATTAAGCAACTAGACGCGCGAAGTCCGCGAACACACACGGAAGTTCGGCCACCGCGACATCGCGCGAACACACGTCGTGATGGTGAAAGTAAGTTGGAAGAAAGCTCGCCTAACATTTTTAGACTAGAACATTTAATATATAGCCCATCGTATACATTATTGATGCAGTCAAAAACTCTACAACTGCTTTGCAACCAGGCCAAAAGCTTTGTCTCAGTTTGGCTAAGGAAATGTAATTGGGTATGGGATAGAATGAAGATGTATTTCTTCAGTTTATTTTAAATTCTATATTATACTGTATTAATAGTATTTCTAGTTTCATTAAGGCTAAAGCAGAGTGCTCTTGGTAATATTGTATATCCTGTCAAAACATACATTAGCCTAATCATTGCCATTACATTTGTATTTTTCAAAGATGTCAGGGAAAAATGTAAAAATATTTGTTTTCCAAACATTTTGGAGCAATTTGTTATATATTTGTAGCCTAATTTTGAAATATAACATTAAAGAGTAGGCCTATATTTGATGTGATGAATTGCTCTGTCATTTACCAATTGTTATAATTTAAATTTTTGCTGGTTAATTATGAACAATGGGTAAAATTGGGGGCGGGGGCTCCGTTTAGGCTCCTCCCCTAACCGCATGTGATCTCACTCCAAGCTTTTGATAAAACTTGAGAACCCTGCTTGTATGTTATAATTACTTTCTTCATAAAGGTGACATCATATTTACCCTTCTGCAAAATTTAGTAGGTGAAATCATCATTTTAATGAGAATCCACACAAATTTTGTGTGAGCGCGAAAGATTTCCCTGGTTCACGTTGGTCATGCGAACTCGCCACGTTGACCAGAAAGCTGCTTGGTTTGAAAGTAACTTCTTTGTGAGCTTTGCTTCATCTCTACACTATTGATTGACAGTAGACCTCTTTTGCCTGCAAAATGTCGCTAATGTGACCTCAGCTTAAGACCCCAAAATACAAACTAAATCAAGCAAAAATGAAATTCGTTTTGGAAGTTCGAAACAGCTTGCCAAAGCGAACTTTCTAAAAAAAAATTCACTCGGGCTGGTAAACACCATAGACAGTAAAAGAAATGGACACAGCGACCCCATAGACTTCAACAGAGAAAAGTGAAGCCAATTAGAAGCACTCACTTCCTGATGGCTGAGCGACTGCGCAGGCTCACACTGAGCTGGATGACGAAGATGTGACGTGAGTAACCTGTCTGACAGCGGTAAGTCTTCTAGTAGCGGTGCCAAGAGGAATCTGAATCATTCCCTTCCGAATCTCACAGAGCCGGAGAGCGTGAGTAGGAGCTGTCCATGAGCAGCAGCAAGAGCAACTTATGACTCTCTATGGGCTTCTCCCTTGACTTTATGCCTCCACGTCCCCCCGATTGCCCGCGAGCTTCTACTTCTGTCTATACGGTAATTTCTCTACTGCGCGACAGAGAGTCGCGTGTTATGACGCAATCGTTAGCCTATTTTTACACAAACTGCTTCTAGGGGGCCATAACGTATAAGATACAAAGTAATGGAGGCTTTTATACATTGTCGTGTTTCTTTAGAAATAAATAATGGGCAAATGGAGTCTTTGGACGCCTCAGATGTAAAGTTATTCGCTGTCAAAGTGACGCCAAAATGAATGAGAGTCAATGGAATGCTAACAGCAGGTGAAGGTCTGCTATAATGGCGGCTCCCAAGCGAAGCTTCAGTTTCCGGCGGATGGATTACCCCATTGGTAAAAACCTTCGAAGTAGCATTGGCTCATGGCGATGATGTAATAGGTGGGCTCTGAGGCTCCGCCCTCTGACATGGAAAAGTTCTCCGGTTAATTTCTTCTGTTGAGTCCGTTGAGGTGAGCCATTTCTGCAGTTTAATTTAAATAATAGACAATCTTTTTAAGTTTTGAAAGTCATGACGGTGTGTAAACTGTATTTTATATAATTACTACTAGTATAATTGCTAACACTTTATAAGTACACAGGAATCACACAAGCTCTTGAAACTCCGCCCTCTGTGCCGGGAGCAGCAGCTCATTTGCATTTAAAGGGACAGACACAAAAACGGTGCGTTTTTGCTCCCTCTCAAAAAGTGACAACTTTAACATGCTATATAAAAATATATGCGGGGTATTTTTAGCTAAAACTTCACATACACACTCTGGGGACAGAAGATTTATTTAACACCTTGTGAAAAGGGCATTACACCACCCCTTTAAATCCCGTCTGGCTAGACCGCTTTCCATAATGTTCACGCGTTAGATCAGTAGACGGAGAGAAGACGGTCTTTTGTGGCTGTTTGAACACATTCGATCACATGAGCGTTTACACTACGAAAGCGATTCGGTCTAATGTGTTTTCCACTACCTCTGGAAGAGGTCAAAATACTTTAGACCCCGTTTACACCTGTTTTTAGCGTCGTCAGAGACAATTTATATAGAGACATGCCACTTCCTCAATCCTCAATACAACTATATAGGGAAAACCCGTAACGCCAAAGATGGCGGTTGTATGCACATGCCCCGCCCCTCCCGCTGGAAAGCCAATCGTCTGCTTTTAACAGTCAAGCCGGGAAACATGTAAGCCTATCATCTGATTCCACTGACGCATGCGCACAGTTGAGGTTTGCGACAGCGGAGACGAGATGCGTAGTAAACGTATAACCTGTGGGGAAAAATACCTTTTAAACCTTATTTTGGGGCAATGTCATCAAACTTTTTCAGCGATTTTTATCATATTTTACTGCTGTTTCTATACAAGCAGTTTTTATGTCCCGGTGACCAGTGAAAGTGCAGTTCTGACTCTCTGCCCATTCATTTAGATAGGAGCCTGGTCTTGTAAGTCCGAAATAGCTGCCCGGAGGCGTTGCCAAGATGGCGGCCGAGTGGCATGACTTGCCTAAAAGGACTTTGGCGTCGTCCACTTGTGATCCGATCGACCAAAACGCATCTTAATATCAGGTGTAAACAGGGCCTAAAATATGAGATCTTCATATACGTCAACCTGGAAGCAGGCAAACAGAGATTGATTGTTGCTTTTTATTTCAGTATTGGCATGTCTACTGTGAACAGCTTGTGGCAGCATTAGGAGCCCAGAAACCTGTGGCGGATCAGTCGAGCTCAAACACCGGCGTCCGAACCCTCGATTTCCAGCTACGCAAAAACAGCAGCGAGAAGCTTTTCCACACATGCACACACACACACACACACCTGAACCCACAGGCTCTGTTCACATTGTGCAGAAATAAAAACAAACAAATGAAAAAAAACACAGGACATGTCTAAATGGAAAAAGAAAAGCCGAGTACAGATCAACAAAATTAAAACACGTGCCATTAAAAGTCACTCACAAGACCTAACATCATCTTTATCAGTCTGAAGTGAAATAATTTACATGAAAAAAAGAATGAATCGGGTGAACAAAGCGCACTACTTGATTCATGTCGCCATACTCTTAAAGGCTTGCAATTCATATGTACCAGTGTCATGAGCCCCAGTAGGAAGTAGAGAGAGCAGTCAGTGGGCGGGTAAACCGCTAACCACACCCACACAAAAGGAAGCATAAACTGCAAGAATAGAACCTGTTCAGCCAGAAAAGAAGCATTTAATTTCACAACTATGTGTTAAATAAACAAAAGGAGAGATATCCCAATATTCAAGTGAGAGCATCATACCCAAAATTTCAAGTGAAAGTGTCATACAACGACTGGAGTCGATCGAAGAGCTCTTCGAAGTGGAAGATGAGCAGTGCGGGCGTTTGGAGGTGACTGGATACATTACGCACTGTGCTCGAGTGACCCGGGACGATGAGAATTTGACACGCTGGATCGCATCTCAAAATTATAGAGTGAGTGATGGACAAACAGCAAATGCAGAACGACGGGACGAAAAAAATCAATGGACGTGGCGCACCGAGAGTGCAAAATCAAGAGGGCGATAAAATCTCTCCCAAACTGCCCCCTTTCTTCTAACAAACGCACCCATCTCTGACTGTATTATTAAATCGATTTATCTGAATGATATTGAACTTGAAATAGCTTTTGCACTTCCCTTTAAACTTTACAGTACAATAAACTATGGTGCACAATAGTACTCTGAGACGCGCTATGCGTTCTGGAGCTCAAAGAAGAGAGCGTCAGCCGGACAGCACTGGTGACGTTGATTCAACGTGTGGCCCAAATGCCAGGGTGGCTGGCGAGGCAGCGCTA